TATGATTGGTGTACTTGTTTTGCAAGTGTGTACTCAAGTGAAAATGTACAAAAAATTTGTCTACTTTAATAATTTTGTAATAGGTCGTATATTCTTGATCTTTGCAATCTGATTAGTTGAATTCGAAATAGGATCAAGTGCTTTGATTGGAAGTCAGAAATTGCATTTTTACATTTTAAAATGTAATAATAATGAATAATTGTTTTTGTGTAATGATAGTCTTAAAAACCATTTAGACTTTTCAAGAAGAAAACACCAACTGAAATTGTAGTGTTAGTGAATGTGTATTGAGATAAATGTTTGATATGCGATCAAGTGATTTAATTTCAACCCTCAATTGAAGTTGTTAGTTATGTTGCCACTAATACTGATATGTATAACGTTAACAGAAAGTTTAGGGAGAAAGAGGAACTGGAACCGGTTTGAATATTTGATAACAGTGATTGATGAATTATGTTGGTAGTCTAATGTTGAGTACCTAATTAATAAGCAAATTATTATAGAAGTGGTAAGAATGTTTCCAAAATAGGTACTTAATATTTAGCAAACGTTTAAGTTGTAAATGGGCAATCTTAGTGAAAAATAGTAAACGTCAGAAATCAATGCGGTCAATTTTAAAATCCATTTAAACGGTTTATTGTTTTGTCGGTCGTAATAAAAGCTGGTGTGTTTAATCAGTCATTTATGAATATTGTTAACCGTATTAAGAAAGCTTAAATATCTATACATTATGAATGTAACCATTTTGACAAGCATTTGAAATGTCAGTTTAATAAAGTGTAAATGAACAAGCCTACGTCGTCTGGCTCAACAAATATCTATCGACATTAAACGTATAAATATGAATAAGGTCTATTGCATCAATGAACATGTGAAATATGATTATAATGTATTGTCCCTATTAGCCTTATTATTAATATCATTATTACGTCCATTGACACGATGAAATTCTCATACCATGCATTTTTTGACAGAAAATTTGTTGCGTTTTCAATTTTCCCATAATCCTGTTACACTTATTGTTACTGAACACTTTACTGCAAATCATGCTGACCTATATTGAATAATGACCTTTGTAATTTGCAAATATTACAATTTGTAAGTATATATATTTATCCGAACAGATGCAAATGTTCAGCATTGTTAACACATTACATTGTTAAATTCATAAATGCCGTGCCATATTTTTGGCTTTCATTAAATCTTAGAATTATGGACTTCAAACTGTTTAGTATGATGAGGAAGTTATTGAAAACGATTGTTCGCTAAATTATTTTATTATATAGTTGTGTAAGTTAATACGGTGTTGTAATCAGTATTGATGAATAACAATGAATGCGTAATTGACGATCAGACGTACGCATAGTTCTGCTTTAATGTACTTTTAATATAAAACGACAATAAAAATTTATTAATTTTGTATTCATTAAAACGACTATATTCTTATTTCCTTTTTACACTTGTTATATGACCTTGAATCACATTAATAATTTAAGTAATTACTATTTAACCTTTTTTATATTGTTATTATTTTATTCATAAAGATGTTTTTCTTAACTGTGTTCACTTCTATATGAGCTTTAATCACATTCATCATTGTTATCATCTTCTTATTATATTCACTAATCAATGAAATTCTAAATTCCTTGACCTTTAAAAAAAATTACAATTATCACTATATTGAAATATTCCTATTAAAAGTGTACTATTAATAGATAGTTTACAAATGTGTTACTAATACGTGAACGGTAGTCACATTATTTTAAATCTAAAAATACTAGATTAGTGTTCATTAGATGACAAAATGTTGTCTAAATTTTGTTAACCTTTATATCCAATAAACGTTAGAAATAGGTTTATCAAAACATGAACGATAATCCCATTAGACATTAATTTCGATTATTAATCTCTAAGGGATATCTTACTCACTTGACTTTGGCCATGGAAAAGAAGTGAAAAACAGAAATTATGTAAATCAAATTGTGGGTGGCCCTGAAAAGGGCCTTTATTCGTTCTCGTTTTAGTTCGAAATGGCACTGCACATAGGACAATGAACTGCTCGGATGTTCGGTGATGGGTCGTAGGCACAGAAGGTATGAAACATAGCTTCACATCTACAGAAAACCCAACCAACCGTGTCATTAGTTTCACAAGGCGGCTGCGCAAGATTGCAGATATCGCATAGTCTGTTCTCTTCATCCTCTTCTTCACTTTGCATGTTCCGTTCAGTTAACTCTTCAGAGTTAATACTATATACTTCCTCCTCATGTTCACTGAGCATATCATCCAAATCAACAGCTCTTCGTTGCATAAACGGTTGTGTTACGTCAGTCGACGTTGTTGGCTGGGCATACAAATGCTATTCTCCATGCAAATCCAACGGTGTTGTTGATAGTCTACCTTGAACTAGGAAGCGATGAAGTGAACTGATTTGTTTGTCAGACATTCGCCTGACTATATCTCTAACTTCATTCCTCATGTCCGGCTGACTCAATTGCACTGGGATATACAGACGTCTTGATCAGTCAGTCGTTTACCATAAGATTAGTAAACAAAATTCTTTACGTGGAATGCTGCGGTACCAGATATCAGCAGCAGTTTAACAGCTTCGAGCTCACCTTCCGTTAACCTACGCACCCATGAATTACCTTCGTACCTCAGGGAACTGCACTCGTGATTGTGATGCACATTCCCACGTACGACAGTCCAGTAGCCGTCTACAATCTTACAAAATATGAAAGTCGGACATTGGGTGTTCATGTAAGCGCTTCGTGAAGCAAATTATAATAACATTAACCAAATGAACTCCTCCGTCTAATACGCTGTGACGAACCGCTGAATCTTATACGCACGTTTCTCCAACACACAAATTTTATGTAAGAATTTTGATCTCGACTAATATGCGAATCTCGCACAACATAATGACTGTAACTCGACCTTTCATAATTCATGATAGCCGTCTTCAACGCTTCAACTGATGGAAACGCGACCAGAAACAAGGTTGTTAAAAACACTTCATCCAGTTCCGTTACGTGAGAAACAACAGCGCTTGTACTTGGAGCGTTACTGCCCTCCATAATGACGATTAAAATGTACATCGTCTACAAGTACTGATATTTTATAACATTTTTCAAGACATAACTGACCAATTACATCGAAGTTTTAAAACTAGCCAATTCATTGGACGAAACAGGGGATGAAAAATATTGTAATTTGGGGGTGGAAAAAAATTTTTCCGGAGGGTGGGGGACAATTAAAAAAACTGCCGGTGGGATAAGATAATTCCAGATTGAGCCTTGCCATCGCAGTTGTTAGGCGTTTCCTGCCAACTACCATATAGAGAATGGGAGACAGAGGAAGCGTCGTTTTCTGAGTTTTTATTTACGACAGACCTCTTTTGAGACAGTCTTTCCTCTTTTGATCGCTGTGAGTCAGCTGTTTCTGAGCCCACGTGAAGTGACTTTACATCAATTGGTGTATCGCCAGAGCGAGTGCTGTCAGATATGTCCCGACATCGTTTGCTAATACACATATAGGCAGCACCTACCATTGAAATGACATAGGTTAGCAAGTTGTTTGCATTCGAGTATCACTGCCTGCAAAGCCTTACGCAACCGATTTTACTAAACCATTTGAAAGCCACAGGCGTCAAGTTTGTGAAAACTTCGTAGTATTAGTCTTTGCATTCATTCAAAGTGTAAACAGTATTCATGATACGTAATAAACGATCGAATGGGTAAAATTTTCTCTGCAAGGAAAAATACCACTGTTATTAAATAGCACGTCTTATTATTTTGGTAACCCGCTATGGTCGACAAATTAATCGAAAAGTAAAAGAAATGAACAATTTTCACGTGCTCAATTTTCTCACGTCACCGCTTTTTGAAGGGTGTTTCGGAATAAAACGCATGAGTTTCCTGAGTAGTTACGGCAATTCATTTATGATTTCCCAGTAACTTACGTTTGAAATGGTTCAAATGGTTCAATTGGTTGTGAACGGAATAGAAGAAGCTTTCGCTTAACAGGCTTCCATGTCTAGTAGAAGGGGATCACTAATACCTCCGGGCAAGAACCTAGGTGTATTAACGGTAAAAGAGAAAAAAAGAAATTGATAAATCATAGTAAGATACTATCCTTAGTCCTTAAGAATAGATCAAGTCGCCTCTTAAAGGACTCCTGGGAAGTTGCTTGAACTAGCTCAGCCGGCAGCGAGTTCCAGCATTTGACAACTCTTAAGGAGTAGAATTTGTGCTTGCAGTCCGTTCTACTATGTTGTATCTCTAATTTCTGGGTGTTACCCATTAGGTTAGTGTTGGGACTAAGCTTAAGTAGGTGTTTAAGAGGATGTCCAGAAATGTTAAGGATACTGTAGGCCATTAGATCACCTCTAATGGGTAAAGGTCAAGTGATTGGAGGCGCTCCTCGTAAGGTTTAAAGTTGCGTTCGCGAACTGATTTCGTGGCTCGCCGTTGGATACTCTCCAGAGTGTCCTTATCCTTTTGGAGTGTAGGAGGGAATACTATGTTTCCGTACTCCAAATAGAAACGAATAAAATTGTTGAAAATCATTTGGAAAGTTTTCCCGTCAAACTGAACGAAAATGCGCTTCAATGTTACTAGTGCAAGATTTGGTCGAAAGGCATTTCTGTCACAGTTAGTGTAAGACTTTAAGTCATAGGGCACCAGGATACCTAAACCTTTGTCGACTCAGGATACTACTAGGAAGGAGTCTACTAAGTTGTAACTGTAGTCCGCGACATGTCGCAGATGGACTAGTTTACACTTTGAAGTGTTAAAGGTGAGTCCGTTGTCGTCTGTCCAACTTTGAAGTGCCGGTCAGATCCTCGTGAAGCTCCATAGTACCGACTGTTCACACGGTCATGAAACCTTTTAAACGGTCATACATATCTTGGTAGGAGAACTGATAATATTCAGCAGTAAAGATTTGGAGAAATATCGAAAATTTCGCTTTTTGCCTTTCCGACATGTGTGCTTGTTTCAGTTCTCTCTAGGTCACGCGCCAATCGTGTGGCGGTCACATCTATTGTCCGAGTACTGTTTATGGTTTATAACAACTTCCTTACATAACAGTACTGAGTAACTGTTGATAGTCAATCTCGTGCAGGTACATATATTCACGTTTTGCATCTCGGATATTTTTGTGGGTTAAGTTCAACATTAACTGATATAATCATATGTAATATATGTTACTCTTTTCAAGCTTAACCAAACCGTCAATTTTTTTTATTTGGCGGGAAAGCGATACTTTTAATCTGAAAAATATTTTTCGTCACATCAATAGTATCTTGTATGTGCGTCTGCTTAAGAAATATGAATCGTGTAGTACTGTCATACTGTCGTACTATGTTACTTAAATCCTCCTTTTGATTCTCTTTGTTTTCTGTCTTTAAATTTTTCTTTACGAGAGGCCTTTGTTTAGCATTTAAAGGGTAAGTTCACTTAGCGCTTTAAATACTTTTGATCAGGGCATTCTAAAATAAAGTGGTTTAGCTGTCTGTTGGGATTGTGAATCCATGTACAACGAACGTCTGCATCCTGCTAGCCTTTGCCACGTAATAGTAGTTAGGTCACAAACTTTCCATCAAATGACAAGAATACACCCACGTGGTTATTTCGTTTCAAGGCATCACAAAAACTATAACCAACTCCTAGTAAAGCAACTCAATATTTATTCGAATTTATTATTTTCACATTCAAAACTCAGATTGTTTTTAAACTTCCCATTCTTCAGGTTGGTTTCGACTGCCGGGAGTTGTAAACAACGTGGTAATGCTGCAAACTTTGCATGTTTGACGTTTAGCTTCTGAGGGAAGTACAGACCACAAAGACTAGTATACCGGTTTTGGATTTTTACATTCAAAGCTTACTATGTAACTAAATAAATTGAGAATTTAGTACCTTGTCTGCCTAAAGTCCAATACCTATGCCTTTGCGTCAGTTTAGGGCGGATATTTTTGTCACCACTTGTATTGAACATGGTTTTGTGGTCCTTTTACTAATCGATACAAATTAGTTAATTTCTATGATTACTCAATCTTATACTAATTAGCTTATCTCAAAAAGCGTTTTTATGGACTATTCTGTTTTTAATTTTATGAAAAGATTTAGTTCATATTAATAATTTCAAACCCTTTAATTATGGGTTTTCTGAACTCTGCTTGTTTATAGTACCTTCTGACGTAACCTATGTCATAAGGTATAAAGTAGAAGTTTCTCTTCCATCATCCAAAAAGCTGCATGTTTATACTGTCTTCTAGGTTGATTACACTCAGCCCAACTTTATATCTTATTATTTCACTGCACTGTAGTTGTCGTAACTATTCTAATTTTAATCCTAATCTTTCAAACTATTCATAAAAGTAGTATCGTCAGTTCAACAATCCATTATCAGTTTTAAAATGCGGAGATTTTTATGGGAATTTATTTTACATTTCACGTACTACTGGCCTCCACTACCAATATTTATTAGAATTATTTTTCCTTTTTACAGATTATACTAGATAAGTAAATTACCATCTCTTTCTACTCTCTCATTCTATGTTTCCCTGAATAGTGTTGTCAGCAAAAAAACCATAAATCATTCCATTAACCATAGCAACTTTTTGGTAAACGGAGCGGAATGTTTAGGATGGATTTCAGGGAGCTTAATGAATAAGTATGCTTACTCCTCCAAAGAATGAATGAGTCGTCAAATCGTAACTCCTTAGTCGGTAGAAATACTGGATTGAATCCCAACGTCATGCGTGATAGTTTGCGTGTGCTTAACTCTTCGTGTGCTGTGACAGCAACTACTCATGCTCTTGAAAATCGGTTAAATTATCCACCGAATACTTCGAATCACGGGTATTTATACTCCGAAAATGGTTTCAATAAGTCTATCTCCACTTTTCCCAATTGTTCGGTTGATTCCTGCTTTCCTAGTCTCACTGTCTCAATGGAACAGAATTTGGTTACCGATTATTCCCAGTGTCATTCATGTGGTAGCTCTCCACCACCTCCAGCATTATCTCCCGTCAGTTCCTCTCCTACTCATGGAAGCAACAACCAAAATAACCAACCTTCCTCCCCTTCTCCTCCAATCATAGTTGCTGAAATTCGAGGTCCTTCATCCATTTCATCTCACTCAGCTTCCGAGAAAAGCTCTCATCCCAGGGGTGCATTTAAAATGAATCAACATGCTTCTCAAATTCTGAGTAAACCACCGAATTCTAGTTGCCCAAGGATAGCAAGTGATATGTTTATGTCTAGTTCGAGTAGTTCATCTTCGTCTACATCTTCCTCCTCAATTTTGAATGAGGCTAACCATGCTGCTAATGGTTTGCCAATTCTCGAAAAAATTTCTATTGTTCTTGGTTCACCAAGACGACCAGTTGGCGAAAATTCAATAATTCGCGCAAATAACACCGATTCACCTTTAAAAAATGAAGATGCAAGACTTCCGAAATTGGTTCTAGAGAATCATGTCTATCCATCAAACAGTAGAGAAAACTCCCTAGAGAAGGTTGATGAACCCGTCAAAGTTGACTCGTCTGTTGCAAATGAAGATACTAAGTCGAATGTATTGAATGAAAAGTCTAAAGTAGCAACAAAACGAAAAACATCAGCCCGATCAAGACGTCGAACTAAATCACGAAAAATTCGAGGCGATTCTGATTCGGATTTCGAGCCATTTTCCCAGTCTCAAGCAGGTGGATCTCGTGGTAGAGCCGATGCCAGAGCTCTTATTCGTCGAGTTCAACAAAAAGTCAGCAATAAAAAGTGAGTTTTTTTACTCTGTTTAAACATATATGTGCATGGTTTTTTTTACATAAATATCCAATTTTATAATAATATATAGTATAATATATTTATTCAGGGCTAGTTATGACTTTTATTCTGTCAAGTTTATCGTATAAGTGCGCCTTGTTATTTTTGCTTACTAATTTTTGTGTTTAATACGTTGTAGCCCACCACAAGGAAGATGTAAAATAATTTAAACGCTAATCCTAGAATATAAAGATAAAGGATAAATTGACTTCATAAGATAACACAAATAATTTCAGACAGTACGCAGTCAGAAATTTTCTTACTTTCATTACATCTACTCTGTAAGGCTGATCTGTGATAGTGGAATGACTTTAGCATGTATTTAAGTTCTTCCAGGTTTTATTGAACCATTTAGTCGGGAACCTGATGTATCAAATGAAATAAAGCTGAAATATACACTGCATGCTTTCATTCGTTCGATAATAAGAATTGATAAATACATTATAAATCTGATAGAATAGACTTGTCTATATTATAACTACACTTTCATTCTTTGTTGCATTTCCTTAGTTTTACTGATTTAAAAATTCGAAATCTCCGGATGTTTATTGAAGTTCATAGATATTTAATGTCATTAATGCCTTTATTTGTAAAGCAAGATCATTCAACAGTCGAAAACATTTCACTTTGTAATATCTTAAGTTGAGTTTATTCTCAATCCTTTTTAGGTCTATTGCTGGTGTTACATCTGACACTGCTGGTGGGACCAGTGCAGATATTGCAATGCGCAGAAAGTATTTAGAATCACCTTTTTTATGTCTTTGTCAAGCTGGAGGAACAGTTTCTAGTCTTATGAAAACTTCGGACAACTTCACTAAATACAATTGCATTCCTTCTGGATCTAAAATAGTCTGTAATAATTCAACAACTAATAATGAGTTGATTGATATGAATTCATCTTTTTCTGCCCATATAATTAACCCAGCTTTACGTGACTTGTCTGTTCAACAAGTTAATGGATACATCTCTCATTGTACCATGCCTGTTAGTTGTCCATTCAAAGCTAATCTAACTGGAAGTGCATCAATTAAAGTTGATAAACATGACATTGGCATTGAATCTCGTAGTATTCTCACAGGTAAGTATAAATTTCATTTAGATAGTTTTCATAACAGTGTACATAACTTGTGTGGGTCACAACTTACGTATATATAAATTTTCGTCTTAGGTATTACATATAGACCTTCAGGACCTCTCCGGGTACGTGACTATCAGTTCCCAACCTCAGTAAATCCTAATAGCCTTTGGATATGTGCCTTCTGTGGTGAAGATAACAATTATACTGAAATTGGTTGTTTATATGGTCCCTATTGGCTTACAGAAGCAGATATGAAGCAATTACCTTCAGAGCTCATTTATGATTCCACCAATGAATATCAGTCCTCTGATACAGTGACTCAGTCTGATACACCTATGACTCCTGTATCCAGACGTGCAAGAAGTATAGAAAAGGCAATTCGTTCTGGTGTGATTACTTCGACTACTACACGATCGGCAGCAGCCCAAGGACGTCCTACAGCTGCTAATACTGGTGTTCTTCGCCTAGTTATCAAAGCTTCAAATAGTATGATAAATAATGATCACTCTTCGACAAAAAATTCACCCGATCTATCTAAGATAACAAACTCTTGCAGGCCTAGAGTTGGATCAAACGGTGAAGTCTGGTTTCATTTTGAATGTGTACTTTGGGCTCCTGGCACTTACCTAAATGGAAATGGTGCTGTTGGCGGTCTTGGTGATGCATTACAATTAGCCCTTAATGCAGTAAGTTTTATTTTTGCGACATCCAGTGCAATCTCTTTGATCATGTGTGTAAAATACTTCTTTATGACAGAATAAACATCTTTTTAATCGATACATAGAATTATCAAATTTTACAAACTGTCTTATTTACATCCAATGGAAGTTTCACCGTATTTTATTGAGTAAAACAGCTCTATATTTCTAACAAAATGGCAGTGACATATCTACATGAATTTCACAAATTTTCGTTATCCTAGTTCTTCAGGAGTGTTCTAACCATATCATTACTTCAAAGATTAAAATTCATTTCATTCTGGACATCCTAGAAAGTGCACACTAGGTGATAACAGGTATCAACCGATTCTTAATTTTCTCATTATTTCTGAACAAATATATTTTATAGTCCTACACATTACGTTAGAGTTACACCACATTGGTCTTGATAAGCTAATAAGTTTGTCTTAAACTCTAATGATCTCACTGAATAACCAACCAATTTTTTGTCTTTACTGAAGACTCGTGAAAAATCATCTCGTTAATTTAGATGCAAAATCATTGTAGATGATTGCCACCCATTCGCCAATTCGATTAACCTCCAAACTTTACTTAGCACTCTCTTCTTAACTCATCAAAAAAGACTTTCTATTATTTGACCCACCACGATTATGCGATCATAGTTACTGTTGACTTAATGTCTTCCCATTAACATGTTAAAAAGTATATTTCCAAGGTGAAATTCCTCCTTAAAACGATCATCTGACGGTTACAAGGATTTGTAACTTGTATGTTCTTATAAAGCATTTGAATGAGATCCTATTCGATACATTATAAAACACCCTTAATCTTCTTTTAGGTCTCGAATTCCAGTATTCCTTTACTCACATTTTTTAACCATTTTCTCAGTCGTTATCCTTTCTTCTTATCAATGCTGCCACATTATTTCAATTACTATACTATTCATCTTGTCCTGCTTATGTGATTTGGCGGCTTTGACTAGTGCATATATGTCCCAGTCTCTACATAGATGATAACTGCATTCAGTTTGCACAGCCCGATAGTTTCACTAAATATCACACTTGGAGTGTGCGTGCGTGACTCGGCTCCAAGTATATGAGTTTGTACCTAGTAATTGAGTTAATAAGTATAAAAAAGATTTAATTACACATAAAATTGTTATTTCGACGAACTCAGTCAGTCAAACACAACATAGAACAGATACTTATAAATCTATTCAAGTTGCCATAACTCATCAGCACAGCCAGATGACATTGTTAGTGTAATTCCCAAAGTAGTAGATGTAACAGTATTAGTGGCAATCGAAAGTTTAGACATCGAAGATACAGTTCCAAAACAATCTAACTGCGTTTAGTTCTATCCTATTAAATAAAGCTCTTTATTTCTGTTTAATTAATTTCATTTATTTTCAATTATTTAGCATTGTTCACATTGTCAAAGACCTGGAGCAATTCTAAGTTGTTGTAACCGAGGATGTAATTTGAGTTATCATTATCAATGCGCACATAGAGCTGGTAAGAGAATAAAGTTAGATGTTTAAACAAAATTCTGAGCTATAATAATATTTCCGATAATTTTTTAGACCTTATAATGTAGTATGCTGGGTTTTCCCATTTCTTTCAACCATTTTTTTAGAATAATAGATTTTTGTTGTAATTTCATTAGAAATACTTTATCTTTGATGAAGGTGTCTTTTTTAGTTTTTTTCTTCCCTAATCACTTATTTATTCATTGATTCCAATCTACTGGCTATAATAAAATGGACTCAATAAACATATGTACATATAATTCGACAAGGGTTATTTACCAGCGGAATCCAAGATGAACATTTCATTCTACTTGCTTGAATATTTATTTCTTGTGTCTATTTGAGTTTATGTTGCAAATAAAATTTACACGTATTACTAACAGTTTCAAACATGAAGAAATCCCTCTGGTCAACTACTGAATTGTGATAATAATCTCATCTTGTTTAACTGTTATTTCCATCAACTATAATCACTTCAGCGATTTACCATAGTACTTAAATTTAATGGTTGTAGAGTTAGCATTCAGTAGTAGGTAAACAAACACAAGACGTAGGTGCTATTCATGGATCTTGAATCATATAGTGCTCATTTTCAACTTTGCTATTAAATTTATTACTTATCTGAAAATATTGAAATGTGCAATCAGTAATACATTCCATATTTCAAATAAATAAATGAATTAGTAATTCTACGAAAAGAAATTGTACACTAACATTTCAAGGCTATTTAGTTGAAATGGTAGCAAATCTTCATCGACTGAAGCAGTTGTAGGTATGATTAGGTTGAAAATAAACTAGGAGAGGCCAATCCAGGTTTTAATGTCTGTCAGTGAAGTCACTGACAGTTGATTAGTGTAAGATGCATGGTTGAAATTCACATAATTGTCGTAACCAGTGATTGGAGACATTTGGATGACATGGCACTGATGTATTTTATGCTTGTCTTCCCTTAGATCTTCAGTTTTAAGATTATCGTTATCTGCCTATCCCACAAATCCTTCCTTATCAAATCATATTGTCTGTGGCTGGTATTTTCTACTAAACCCAATACCGTTACTAATTCTTATACTTAGGTATTTGACTTGGTTCTGTGCAGATACTGTTTGGCAACCGATGCTCATATGTTCCAGGTTTTATGTTTCCTGTGACTGACTAATTCATTTCATTGACCTATGTTAAGTAACTAATCAGCAGACATATATTCACAGACAGAGTTTACACAATTGAAAAAGTTTTTAAGGGCTCATAATTCCTCTAGTTGTAGCAGCGACATTTTCAGCGATTTCATCTGAACTTCCTTTGATTTTCAAATCAATACTCTTTTCTCTAACTTGGTTTACACAGATTATCGGGTTAAATCTCCATAAGGAGATAATTTATAAAGTTCCCTTTTTTTAAATTCCATTTCGTTAATTTTTTAAATTCAACTCTAATAGATATTACAGTTTTATTCAAAAACTATCAATAGGTGGGAAAGTGTATTCTATTTGTATCAACTTAATTTAATTCACCATATCTCATACCCATATATTATTGATCACCACTATCTTTTGTTGTGGAATTGTAGTAACTTTCTTGTTCCGAGAAGTTCGATGTGCATCATATTCAAGAATATTGTTGGTACAAGAAATACAACAGTAAAATAATACAATGCCACAACAACAACTACAAAACCTATATTTACTGCCTTTAATTTTTTTCGTTTATGTCCATATGACATTTGTAATCTCAGTCATTCATACAATCAATCGTATGATTTTTCCAGTAATTGAAATATTCACATGAATTAGTTATCTTATGGAAATTTATTCTTAGCTTTTTTGTTGATCAAATGCAATCTTGACAATAGTTGAAATCATGAGTCCATTGAAGCTAGACCACTATGGAAAACCTGGAAGCACTGGACGGCCGTTTCGCCTAATTGTGGGACTCCTTAACAGTGCGCATCCACGAACCCGCCTCGCGGGATTCGAACTCATGATCTCAACTATTGAAATTACTACAATCTTCACAAAACCCCTTCTGATGCAAATAAATTTAGTGTTATAAAACTCAAATATGGGGCATAATTTTGATATTAGACGTTCCAAAATAATCAATCGAAGCTGAAACGTGTACGGTGCATCGATAATTGGGAAAAATCTAGGTATCATTAAATACTGCAACATTGTTTAGCTCATGAACAATAATGATTTTTCGATTAGATCAGGGCTGGTCTTATTGTCCAATCCTAATAAGATATTTTTATTCGATGTTGCAAATTCAATCTAATAAGGGACCGATAAAATAAAACTTCTTTCCATGAACATATCAGATTAATTTCAATTTATCCTTAAATTTAAAATAGTTCACAAAATGTGGAATACTGAGTTTCACATTTAAGGAAATATAATCTTAATCTATTGAATATCAGAAAGCATAAGTTTTATTCATTGTTGAACTGTAGGTTTATTATAATCCCCCTGGATAAAAAATCTATCCTATATTGTCTCTCGCCAGTCAATCTCCTCTATTAATAATTTTCTGTGTTTATCAAGAAAGAAAAGATTAACCTTTTAACCTTCTATTTACTTTTAGAATGTCATTTGGATCGAGATCAATATATTTTGCTGTGCAAAAAGCATCATATCTATTCATAGTCAGTTGATCCACTGGCAAAACAACAGATATATATACTTATTATAATGATTACGAAGTATTTGTTTTTATTACTGTTCCACGTTTATATATCCTAACATATTTAGTTTTTTTTTAAAAAAATAGAAGCATTGTTTTGTAAAGATATCTTGTATATGTATGTAGGTAGATAGGTATGTTTGCACGCATTTTTTTCTTCAATGATATGATGTGTTGTATAGATGCTTAATAATTATTGGATCTAAAACACAGAAATAAGTGAACACTTTCTTTCCTATGGCTTCACTACATGTGAACAAACCACAATGTAGGAAGAAAGAAATAGTGATTGTACAGTTTTTTTCCCCCATCTTTCTTTCTTTCGTTCTCATCATACACGTTTTGTTTGTTTGTTTATTTGTTTGTTTGTTTGTTTATCGTACATGTACGTATTTATGCTCTTCATATTATTATTTTTTTTTTATTTTCCCTACTTTGACTCAAACTTAATCCAATAGTAATGATAATGATCAAAAATCACAATCAAATCTGCTTATCCATCTAATTTTATTCATGTATTTTATCAATGAATTTATTTCTCTATGCATGTATATCTATCTATGTATCAATTTATTTATGTATATGAATTTGTTGGAAGATTATGCCTTTTATATTTATTCTTTTGAAAATGTGTGTTTATATCTATGGGAACAAGTGACAAATTGGTGGAAGGTGGTGGCATTTGAGAGCAGTTGATGAAAATATTTATACCTAGTAGCTTATGTGTGCATGTGTGTGAATAAGTATGATCCTTCTGAATTTATTTTGATCTATTAAAAAATACCAAAATAAATTCAATATTAATTATAGTGTATACATGTTCTTAAATGCTGAGAGAAACAATTCCACTTAGAGTTGTATATTCTGATAATTTCCAGTTGATTTTTCAAAATTACCACTATTCTTTTTTGTCTTATCTGTTGGTTTTCTTTCCATAGTAGCATTCACTTGTATATGAAAGGCGTTTGTTAGTTTTGTTTTCTAGTTAATTGTTTTTACTATAATTGTGCTTCTCTTATTGTGTGTTCTTAATAAGATTACTTCTATGTGTGTATAAAAGGTCATGATACTGATATATATATTATAACAGTCTATGGGCCTACAGATTGTGTCCAGTACCTGACCTTCTTATATGCTGTTTATTTGTTTGTAATCGTGACCTTATTTTATAACATGAAAATTTTGCGTTTATATATATTTGTGCACCAAGTGAATTATTCTCAACTACTTTAATATGGTGGACGACACTACTTCTATCATTTCGTTTTCTGCTGACCAACTTGAGTAAGAATTCCTGGTTTGTTTAGAAGCTTTTTTGGTAGAGAACCCAGCAAAACTAATTTACATACTAGTTAACTCAATATGTATTGACCGAATTCAATGATTATTAATTGCGAAGTTAATTACTCAGTAATCGTCACTTTGCATAAAATCACAATGAAAATGCCTTGAAATCGACCAATTAATGTCATACTAGATAAATCAATACAAATGAAAAAAAAGTCTAAAATCAGTTGTGTAAACAGTTAATAGTAGCGGTTGGGGTTGATTACATTTATTTGGTCACCCTCTCCCAAGTAAAACTTCTAGGGTATATCCGACTCTAAACTCTATTTATCATTTGGCGGTCAGTGTACTATCAATTATGGTGTGTTCTATCTATTCGTTCAATAGTCTATTTCGGTTAAAAAATATTATAAGTGATTGTATTAGATGAGTAGGATTGTTCAAACAAATAAGATTTAATTTTTCTAGAACTTATGGATCAATACTTTTCAGTATTATCAGATTAAAATCTTTGAAAGAATTTAAGGAGTGGAATTAACGTAAACACTAATTAGCTATGTACACAGTCATGAGTTTTTATGGGACTTAATGATTAAGAAGTTCTCATGTTATCAGCCGTAATTTCAATGAAATGGATCTTCTAACTGGAACCACATTTTAAACAGAAATGATTGAGTTGGTCAATACAATGATAACCAAAAAATAGCACTGGACAGTGCGAATGTTATTTACTTATAGGTCGTATTCCAAAATTGTTATAAGTAGACACCTTGCTTGTGGTGCATATACATGTGAAATTAACCTGGAATATAGCTGCAAGTGGTCGGGTAAGTTCAACAATAGGAAAGGACCTATACAAAAAATTAACTAAAATGTAGTAAATGGATCCATAGGTCTCACTCGTCGACTGCATAAAATCTTGGTATTAGCAGTTTCAGTACTATCCTAGAACATTTGTTCTTGCGAACAAGTGAGACGGATGAAATGACAATCAGTTGCATCTAATGTTACCATTTTATGAATAGGATCAATAAGTTAGGAACATATCACAGACTAATAATAGTGTCGACTTGTTGCGTCCCTTGAGTTTCAGAGACTTTTGAACCACTTAACCGGGTGAAGACAATGGGATTAAATCATCTCTGAATTTGTCAGCTGCCCATCTTTTTCCCATTGACTGTAATGTTTGCACAAAAGTAACTTATACACTAGGTACATTATGAGCATTTTGGAGTACAGAGATGTTCAATTATGAGATGCTTGAGACACCATAAATTAACCTTCAGATTTTTCCGACAACTGCATCAATCGATATTATGAATCAGTAAGGTGATGCTTAGGCCTTCAAACCGCACAATCTAAGTTTTCTCGATTACAAATATTGAAATAAACTGTTCAGCTGACTGGAACTCATGTTTTCCTGTAGAAATGTGGATGGTGCATCAAAGTAATGATTATATGAATTTTATTAACGTGTAGTTAGACTGTTCGGCAAAAACAAAAAGTGAAGCTATATAAGCCGCACTTCAAAAAACTAAATATACGTTAGTCACATCGTACAAAGGTATTTTCCTCTTGTGGACGGACACGTCCTCTCATTGTCGCCATCACTGCTCTATAATTTTAGCTTGGTATCGTTCTCTTAAAATTTTAGTTCTGTAACGACAAATAAATCCCAAAAATAATTAGTTTTTTTAGGTCATCCATATTTGGTGATAATCGCATTAGTTTCACCGGACTCACCTAGCTGAAGGTGTTCGGTCACTCATACGCACCATATAAGGAGTAGGTAAGCAGTTCTATGCATCCCTCTCAAGTGTTAGCCAACTTAGACCAAACATTCCTCGACATACCGATAGCCTTTCAAACATATATTCGAACTCCCTCATTGCTGACTTCTGATTTGATTGGATTGACACACACCCATTATAAGGACGTAACGGTCAAAGGCGTTGTCAAATTTTGAATATTTGTGGCATCCTTAATTTATTTCTCGGACTTTGGAAATTATCGGAAAATTTCAGACACTTTGCAACACAATCTTCTGAACCCTATACATTTCACTAAAATTATATGTAAAGACTGATTTCCTGAATATAGTTCCCCATTAATCGGTGAATCGGTTTTATTAAGACCGAGAATACCTCACTCATTAGAAATGTTTGTCAGGAAAATAGGTCAGTGTTCGTCTAAGGCTAACATCCCAGTTGCAGTTTAGAATAAAATTTTTCATACTTAACATGTGAAGTCACTAGTTTGTGATTTTTCCAAGTTCATATTGCGATAATTTTCTGTCTAAGTACTCATAATGAGGCATTTATCAACTTATAGTTAAGAAAATTCAAGATTTTTGTGGTGACCTATTTTTGTCAACAGAACGCGTTTGGTTCAATGAAAACAATTACTATTATAACCAATTGTACCAGTGATTGTTTTAATGTGCCCGTTTGCTTAACTGTGCTACTGACAGCCATACTGGCCTTCCATTGGACTCCATTACTTTCCTGCGAAGTTTGTGACTCTACGCACGTACTTTTTCCTGCCGATCCCACTTGTACTCCTTTGGCACGATCTCGGTATTCTTTCGATACCACGAGATCGCCACCGATTAAACTTGTTTACGAACTACTCTCACCTTTTGATTTATTTGGTACGCGCTCAACTTTTAGTGGTGTTCATAGTCAATCTCGACTGGACTCCACGCTACAAGTTCATGAAGCCGAAAAAGTTTGAGTATCATTCGTCAGTACAAACAGTGCGATTTAACTACCCCAGAACAGATTACTGTGGCTGTTTTATAATCTATCTTCATCATCCAGAGCTATTTATCTGTGAGCCTTTACAAAACCACTTTCCAATAATACGGTCAAACTTCTCAACTCAATCGTCAAACTGTAACATGAGGCAACGCGCGTTCAGATTTATAAACCGAAAGCCATATTTAAGCTGAACCTCAGCTTCTGTGTATGGCTGAGTATGAGACACGGATTTTATGGATAAATCAAAGTAATAAACTTGCGATGCTCATACCTAGCTCTTTTAATGAATAGATTCACTCGGTGTGTATTTAAATCCGCAAGTAGTATGAAGGAAAGGGAAAAGGAAACGACTCATGGTGTTCCTAAATGCATAGAGTTGAATAATGGTATGGCTGCAAAACTGGCTATCAAGCGAATAAGATCTTAATGTTGTGGAGCTTCTTATTGAGAGTGATAACAATGGCACATTTTGATGAATCTTCTATAAGAAGGTTTGACATTTACAACCGCAACAGCTTAAATTGTATTCTAATTTTTTGTAATCAATTGTACGTCTTCTCCTCGGATTCATCATGTTTCTGTCGGATAGATTCTGTATTGCCTAGAACCTACTCATTAGCAATAGAATTAACAACCGAGACTGGAAAAGACTCACCTGGTTCTGGGATCCTGTTTCATGAACATGTCGGTTGTGTGTGCTTAAATCATAGATGTCTAGAATTCGAACAAAAGATTTACAGACATTTTCACCACAATCCTCGTGACTGGGCGAAGATAGTTCCCACAATGATATGTAACTTATACAGACCCCAAACACCTCATATTCGTACGAAGTATCCATCCTTTTAATAGCTTTGATGGAGTCTCTTTCATTGCAGGATGTTTAGCTCATCATGTGTCGACTCAATAATGGAATCATCAGCAGCTTTAATGTCCCGAAAAAACGTTCTGCTTTATCACTAGAACAAGCGTGTCTGGGAGCAGCGAACAGATATCTGCACCCTATACCATACAACCAGGCAGTGACTGCATCCGCACTAATGCCACTACAATCTAGTATCAGTCACTAACACCATAGAAATCCTTTCTCGACTAAATGCCCGTCTTAATGCTTGGGTTGTGAAGTCACAATTTGATGGGGTTGTAAAGAAGACTTCAGACAACTTCGAAGAATAATCGATAACTAATAGTACATACTATTTGCCAATAAATGGACCAGAACAGTCTGCATGAATTCTATGCCAGTCCTCAGACGATACTGGTATGTAGTACACTTCGAATGCTAACTTTTCAACTTATGACATTTTCCACAATTGTTTGCCCTACGATATATATCTGCATTTATCTCAGACCGCCAGCATGCCAGTCTTATCAAGGACCTCATTTTCTTAACACCAAAATATTTACTACGAAGATATTCGAGGACGAACTTATGTAATGAAAGAGGAATAACAATATGAATATTTAAACGCAAAATATCATCAGAAGTAGTAAATAACCCATCCATCTTTAAAAAATGGACAGGAAATCCACGTTTCGTGTTAGCATCTCAACCTTTCCGTATAGCACTAAGTGAAGATCCAACGTGTCTAGTGGTTTCTATATTGAGAACTGGTCGTCTCACCGGTGAAGGTTTCACCAACAAACAGTCTGCAGTAGTGACGGGTGTTAGGTCCCGATAAGCGTAATGAATTAATCTTATTATCGAGATTCCCTTGTTTTACCAGAAACTGTCACATGCATCAAATGATAATCAAGAACCTAGTGCAGTTTTGATGGACGCTGATTATCATAGTGATCCACTATTTACTAGTGATGTCCCCAATAAATTCGGTCACAATATTTCGAAAGAATTAAACTATAATGACCCCATATCAAGCGTCGTTGATCCTCACCACCTAGTCGCTTTCAGTAGATTCTCTTTTCAATTCGACAAATATGTTTCAAATAAATTCAAACGTATTGTAACTCGGGAATATGAGGATCCAACACTTTTCCGTGGGGGAATCAAACTCATAAAATTCAAAATCTGGGTATCAACTCTGGATCTTCAAAAAGGGTAGGTGTGTTAAGTCACGATAATCATGATGAGTGATAACTTTTAGGATCCATATATGGACCAGTAAATGACCAAACTGTTCATATTCATATCCTTCTTATTATGAGCTTTATTTTTACCTGTGAACTATTATTCTACGACTTACCATTCTTGAATTATGCCTTGTCTATTAATTACTACCCTCCTCATTCACAGCCACATTTGGCTAATTCTTGTACAAATATTGTTTAAGATTTTATGGTACGGTGTGGTCTTTCTGGTTGGTAAGTGAACCCTGTATGTTTGAAATTAATGATTCATATTGCACAGGCTGAGATTGGTGTTCTTGATTTAACTGGCTGGTCTCGGCGGGAA